TTAGAGAATAGTTGCAGATGTGCATATGTCTAGAGTCTGCTGCAGAACTCACAGGAGTCCTATTTTGTTTCATCCTTATCTCTGGGCCTATGAACCAGGCCTACAGACTGCTCTACCCCAGGCCACTATGATCCAGCTCATTCAGCCCAGGATGGGTCTTTGACATCAGTCCATAATATCACCATTTTAGCTGGTCCAATATGTTGCACCTAGCTTTTAACCTCTATGGCTCTTCAACTCTTGCTGGATCCAGATCTCCCCTCAAACTCCTCCTCCTATGATACTCAGTTTAAATTCACTTTACTGCACAGACTCTCTTGAACATGAACGACCCTTAGCATTTATTTTCTAGGACCACACACTAATGGCCATAGGTATCATCCATCTTCCTCACTGCTATCACCACTACCATTATCATCACCACCACACCTATAGCCCCACCATCACCACCATCATCTCTGGAAGCCAGCCATGAAGCAAAGGTCTGGATGTAAAGGCCCAGAGAGTCTCTTCGCAAAGCCGTAACTAGTAGAGAACCCCATATTCATACCTTACAGGGAAATAGGTGGACACCAAAATCTCCCTACCTCCAACTTACTTCTAATAACTTAAAGTCTCCATATTTCACGTAGACTCTCTTGATGCCATTAAATGCGAGCTCCAGTTCCTTTAAGGCTGGAAATGAGTGAAATGCCTCTACATGGGAGAAAAGAAAGAGAGAATCTGCAGCTTGTAAAGGACTTAGGAGAAATGTATTAGTAATGACCATTCACTGGGTTCCCCCTGGATCAGATCAAGCACTGTGGAAGGTGCTTTATGTATACAACCTCTAAATCTCTAATAACCCTCAAAAACAGGGATTATTACTTCCATTCTATGGCTGAGGAAATGGAGACTCAGACAAGATGAATAATTTTCTAGAAATGGAATTGGTGGTAAATGGAAAAAACAAGAATTGAATCTAAGTCTATCCATTTAAAATTTTTTTATTTACCTATTTTTATAGTGCTGAGGATCAAACCCAGGACCTTGTGCATGCCAATCAAGTGCTCTACCACTGAGCCCATCTCTATTATTTGATTACAGAAGTTAAACATGTCTACCCAAAGTAGTCAAACATCACAGAAAAACAAAAGTTCCCTTTAATCTCAATACACAGAGATAATGATTAAAAGTTTCATGTATAATACACCACTTTTTCATGTATAATACACACACTTTTTCTCATGCATATATTAAAATACATACACTTCTTAAGCTGGGATTGTAGCTCAGTGGTAGAGCACTTGCCTAGCATGTGTGAGGTACTGGGTTTGATCCTTATCAGCACATAAATATAAACAAATAAAATAAAGACATTCTGTTCATCTACAACTACCAAAAAAATACACACACTTCTTTTTACAAAAATGGAATCATACCATACACATTGTATTCTGATGTTTTTTTCCCCCTTAATAGTACGATGTGAACATTATTCCACATTAAAATACATAGATCTATCTAATGCTTTAATTATTTTCTGTAATTCTCCTACTGATAGGCTTTAGGCTATGTGGTTAAAAGGTAATTGAGCTTTTCTCCCTCTGCATGAGAACTGGACCTTGGGTTAATTTTCTGCCCGTTTCTCTGGTAACATGAAACAAATGCTATGGTAACTGTGTTACTAGGCAATAATGCTTTGGTAAAAATGCCTCCAGATTGGTATATTGCATCTGAAGCAGGAGAGACTATGAATAAACTATAAATACCTGAAGAAGATGCTTCCCTGTATGTGGTGACTTCTGTAACATATCCTTTGTGGGGGTGGGGGGGTCTAGCTATGCCTATGGAGTATCACAAGGAATATTTTGACTCCTGTAGGCAATAAGCTAGCTAGCTTTCTCTGTCTCTCTCCCACTCCCTCCCTTTCTCCCTCTCCCTCTTTCTCTCCTCTATTGGAGTTACATCCAGGGGTGCTCTCCCACTGAGGTACATCTCCAGCCCTTTTTATTTATTAATTTTTTATTCCAAGACAAGATCTCATGAAGTTTCCCAGGCTGGCTTCAAACTTTGGATCCTCCTTCCTCAGCCTCCTGGGTAGGTGGAATTATAGGTGTGTGCCACTGCACCCAGGGGTAATGAGGTTTCTAAGCCAGGATGACCCCTGCATCCACCCAATAAAAGTCTCATTGTCTCACACCTGAAGTGACACCTGGGGCAGGCCTTAGAGAATGACTCAAGATGGCCATGGGGACAGCTTCATGGATGGCTACAAGGATTCCACAACAGAGAACTACACAACTGTGTAGTATTATTTTGAGCCTTCTAAGTGAGCTTAGTGTCCAGGGTGGCCTACAATAGGCTTGTGAGTCAAAAGGTTCAGCAAGGCCTAATAAATGACTGCTCTATGGGTATTTCAATGAACTTCCTTGCACAAGAGTGATTCTGTTGAATAAATTCCTGGAACTGAACTATTTCATTAAAGCAATGCCTACTTATAATTTTGAGTGACACTGGAAAACTACCTCCAGAATGTCATGATAATGTACTATATTTCTACCAGTTGAATATACAAATATCCATTTCCATACCAACATGAGTTGTGAGTCCTTTTCATTTTTGCCAGTATATGATGGGCAGATAATAGCATACTGGAGTTGTTTTGATTATCAGCCTTGCTGATAATCACATGCCTGGTGGTCTTTTTACTTTAAGCCCACACTTTGTAAGTCAAGAGACTACACTGTCTCCTCAAGGGCAGGGATCTCATTAGGTGTTTTGTTAAAATACCCTTCAAACTCAATGCGACAAAACGGACTCATCCTATGTCTTCCTAATCTGCTTCCTCCAAGTATGCTATCTCAGTGAGTATCCCCTTGATCCCTCCATCCTCTCACACTCCCACTGCCTGTCAAGTCCTAATTTCTGCTTCCTCCTGAGTCTTTCTCTTTCAATTCCCTTCACTCCTCTTGCCATACCCTGGCTCAGGTCTCATCTCTCAGGTTTCCTGGCCTTCATATTCTATTCTTGCAGTCCATCCTGATGACAGCCACCAAGAGCTTCTCTATTTAAAAGTCTACCAAGACTGTCTTTCTCTGCTAGATTAAGTCCGAGTCACTCAAGGCTCTTGAGGATAGAGTCCCTGACACCTTCTTAAGTCTTCAAATTCCTAAGTCACTCTTATTGCCCTTTCTTTTTTCCTTTCCTTTTTTTTTTCCCCGTCTGTTTGTCTCAGTTCAGGTTCATTTGTATTAATTCATATAGCCCTAATTCATTCTTCCTCTTCTCAGAAGTTCCTCCTAACTCTCCAGCCTGGGTTAAGTCCCACTTATATGCTTGTGTAGCATTTCCTGATTCCCTCTATCATTGCTTATATGTATACTGCTCTGGCTATATTTAAGCCCATGTCTCCCACCAGACAAGTTCATTGGAATAGAAACTCGCTCCCTTCTAAAGGCCAAGCACTCACCAGCAGGGGTCACTGTGGATTTGCTAAATAACTAAGAAGGCTTTCTGTTCCTCTAGGAGCACTTACAGGCTGAAACATCTATCTCATCTCAGTCTGCAAGGTAGCCTGCAAAGGGAGGAAGAAGGGAATTATCCCCATTTACAGAGAGAGAGGCAGCAGCTCACAGAGAAATGCACCGATATGGGGCTGCCCTCGAGGTCTGTGTGCTCTCCCCGCACCCAGAATGTTGCATTCCACAAAACAGACAAGTGGCCAATCATGGATGGATGGACACAAATCTTAACACAAGTAACTGACTATGCTAGCCAGGAGGTAGGAGACAGTTTTCAAGAAGAAAGAGCTCACCTAGAGGGAGCAGGTTTTCTGAGGCATTGATATAAATCACAGAAGTAAAGTGCTTAAAGTCCTTTTCCTTCACCTGTAGGAAGACATTTCAGGAAAAACACAACATTAGTTCCCTAAAGAGAACCTTGTTGAAGCTTCAAAGCTGCTGTCAGAATGAACAAAGACCTAAAGGGACAAGAGCCACCCTTAGTACAGAGCAGCTATGTGTTAAGGGCTGTGAGGGCTTTTCTGCTATGCTTTTTCTATTCTGAAATATTTCAAATGTAAGAAAAGCATAGTGACGGATACTCCAAAGACCTATCCAGTTTTAATAAACATGAATTTTTTGCTTGAAATTTCTTTAAAGATAGAAAACATTACAGAGGGTGACTATCGCCATCATAACCTCCCTCCAAGTTTCCCTCCCCAATCCCATAATAGCAATTTTGAATTGATGATCATCATTCCCATTCCTGTTGTATTATGTATAAATACCCAAATATGGGGGTAGATTCAGCAACCATAAATAGTGCTGTTTTCATGCTTTTTTTTTTTTTTTTGGTACCAGGGATTGAACACAGGGGCACTCGACCACTGATCCACATTCCTATTCCTATTTTATTTAGAGACAGGGTCTCACTGAGTTGCTTAGTGTTTTGCTGTTGCTGAGGCTGGCTTTGAACTCACGATCCTCTTGCCTCAGCCTCCTAGACCTCTGGGATTACTGTTTTCATGCTTTAAAACTTTCTATTAAGTAAATCATATGGTAGATATCTGTTCTGCAACCTGCCTTTTCACTCACTGATATGTTTTTGAGATTGACTTGTATTGATACATGTGGCTTTTTTTAAGAGAGAGAGAGAGAGAGACAGAGAGAGAGAGAGAGAGAGAGAATTTTTTAATATTTATTTTTAGTTTTTGGCGGACACAACATCTTTATTTGTATGTGGTGCTGAGGATCGAACCCAGGCCACACACATGCCAGGCGAGCATGCTACTGCTTAAGCCACATCCCCAGCCCTACAGGTGGCTTTTTTGACATTATTTGTGTTGATACATGTAGCCCTAGTCCATCCATCTAAATTCCTTGATAGTGTTCCATTATTTGAGTATGTTAAAAGCTATCCTTTCCAAATGGATGCACATTTAATGTATTTCTAATTTTTCATTATTACAATAATTGTTTCTCTAATAATTGTTTTCTCTAATGATATACTCCTATCAGATTACTCTTGTGTTGGAAACTCAGTGTTATACAAGGAATTGCACTGGATCAAAATTCTACAGGGCAAACTCAAAAACCAGATTCATAAGGTAAGTTCCTTTAATTCATATCAAATGAGACAATGACAATACTGAATTGATAGCAAACAAAAAATTTGTTTCTGGATGGGTGCCATGCATGGTGCACACCTGTGATCCCAGGGGCTTAGGATGCTGAGACAGGTGGATCGCAAGTTCAAAGCCAGCCTCATTAATAGTAAGGTGCTAAGCAACTCAGTGAGACCCTATCTCTAAATAAAATACAAAATAGGGCTAGGGATGTGGCTCAATGGTCCAGTGCCCCTAAGTTCAATCCTCATTAACCCCCACCCAAAAAAAAGTTTGTTTCTGAGTACTGTTTTCATTCATTGAGTCTTTGCTGGCCTTTTCTGCCCTCCTTCCACATGACCATATTTTCAGCCCCCAGGGACTTCGGAGGCATAACAAATAAAACTAGAATAGCAAGTGCCACTTCAGATCTGGCTCACCCAACATCTTTGCTGCTGGCCTCACCTGGGATAACTTCAATCCACTCACGTTGATGCTGCACAGGTCTGATGGTTTCCTCACATGGTGGTGCTTCAGCTGGGACACAGGACAGAAAGTCAGCTCTTGAGGCCACAATAAAATGTAATTAATTAAGCTATTTTTGTTCTATGTTGTCTTATTTGGGAAAATCCCATAGTCTGTCATAATTTGCTTGTTAGTTTGTTCATTCATTCATTATTTTTAAAAATATTTTTCTTAAGTTGTAGATGGACACAATGACTTTATTTATTTTTATGTGGTGCTGAATATAAAACCCAATGCCACACACATGCTAGGTGAGCGCTCTACTATAAAAATTCTTTATTTATCTATTCATTCACCAAATATTTACTTAGCACTACTTTGGGCCATATCCTATGCTAAATATATTAACAAACTTTCTTCTAATCCTAACCACACCCTTTGACATAGGTAGCATTATCTTCCTTTTTAAATGAGGTTAAGAGATGTAAAGTGTCTTGCCTAAGATCCTACAGCTACTAATTGATAGATCTATGATTTGAATCCAAATCTGTAATCTTTAAACACTATGCTCTGTTGCCTACCACATCACACTACATAATAAAGAGAAGTAAATCCTAGCTTTGGAACTTCTATATGTGTTTAATGGAACCTCAATCCTTTGTTCTGTTAATTATGATACCTCTTTGTTATACTTAGTCTCTGAACTAAGTATTGGGAAGACAATGGAGAAAAAGCAGGAACATGTCATGACTTCATGGAGCTTACAATCTCTTGGGAAGCAAAGTAGCAAGCAAGCATTTATCAATGTGATAAATATTTTAAAGGAAAAATTCAGGATCCTATGGGAGACAGTAACAGGAGGTCCTAACTTCAGCCTGAAAATGAGGAAATACTTAAGAAAGTAAAATTCAGCTGAGACTTAAAAGCTAAATAGGAGTTGGTCCCATGAGAGTGGGTGGTAGGGACTGGCAAGAGAAAGTGAGGTGCTTTTGAGAGGATGAAAACCACAACAAAGTTAGAGAGGCAGTCCTTAGATCATGTGGGTCCATGTTGGCTCTGTGAAGAAGTGTGGGTTTTATTCAATAACCAATAGAAAGCTGTCAGAGATTTTTTTTTTGGCAGGGACTTATAGTAGTTTTATAAAAATTGGTAAGTCTGATACACATTGAAAAGGAAAAAAGTCTGATACACATTGAAAGGATGAAAGAACAGGAAACATCACTGTTGCAGGCACTGTTACCTTCCCAGTAATCACTTTTCTATACCTTCCTTATTACAAACACCAATGTTATTCACATTTCTCCAAGTGGATATGTTCTTAAGCCCCAGCTTCAAGGGATAAGTTTTAATCTGTCTAAGCCAGTCAGAGGTCTCATTCCTCTAATGGATGACTGTGATATAGGTCTGGCCAATGAGATACTGGCTGCTAAGTGTAGGGGTGGGTAACCAGAAAAATACTTCTAAAAATAGACATAAAGCAATGACCATCCCTTCTCTACTCTGAATATTATCCTCTATATGTAATGACTGGAATTGCTGCAGCTATCTTGGGACCATGAAGTCAATTAGCCCAAAGGACATATCAATGTCCTGAGATTGGCAGAGCAGAAAGATGGAAGGAACATGATTCTTGGAAGATGTTATGAAACCAGTAAATTAGTCTACACTAAACAATGTCTCTGGCTTGTTTTTATATGGAAAAAAAGCATCACAATTGGTTCAAACTAGTTAGAAAGTTACTGGATTATCCTAATAATAGATGATGGTGACCAAGTAAAGGATAATGACAGCAGAGATGAAAACACAGACTGATAACTCCTTATTAACTGCCAGGACTTGGATAGGAAGGAGAGGCCAGGATAAAGTGAAACCCTAGGTTATTGGCTTGGTAACTTGAGTAGACAGTAGTGCCAAAATAGAGATAGTATAGTAAATAATGGAAAAAGCAATTTCCTGGACTTGGAGTATGACAATTGTGTGGTAGTTTAATATGAATTGCCAGTGAAAAACTCAAGTGAAACTATCCAATAGGTAGTGTGGATACCTCATTACTTTAAAAAGCATTGATGTTGCTTCTGCCACCCAAAGTGGCAACTCAGGTAGCAAGCTATACTGATTAAATGTGGAAATGTATATGTATAGTCGTCCCTCAGTATCTGCTACATATTGGTTCCAGGAGGATGCTAAAGTCCCTTATATAAAATGGTACAATATTCATACATAATGTATGCACATCCTCCTACATACTTGAAACATCTTTAGATTACTTATAATATCTAGTACAATGTAAATGATAGATGAATAGTTTATACTGAACTTTTTAGGGAATAATGATAAGGAAAAAAAATCTGCATATGTTCTATACAGACAACATTTTTGTTTTGTTTTTTGTTTTTATGTTTTGAATCTGTGGATGTGGAAACTATTGACATGCAGGGCCAACTGTATTTGGATATGAGGAGGGGAAAGACCACTATGGAAAGTGTTTGTCCCTCCTCAGTACTGCTGTTTCAATCTTCCTCATTCTCAATGAGAAATGGAAATAATGAAACTCCATACGTTCTGCAAAGAGCTGGTATTACCCAACTGAGGAAAGACAAAACCAACAAAATCTCTTTCAACCTCTGATCTATGCAGACACCCATCTCTTGGGAACCGTAAGTAGAATCTAGGAACAAAGTTGCTGCCAGAGAGTTCTTCTCAGGGAGCTTTGAGTGTTGGACTGGCCATTAATATTGACATACAAAATGTGTCTTTCTTTGTAACTCCACTGAAGCATTGCAGAAAGCAGATGTGAAATTACCTGCTCCGTCTCCCATACAGCCTCCCTGCTGTCTTCATAAAGCCTGGCCCAGGCTTCAAGTAATACCTAGTCAACTCTTAGCTTTCAGCAAGACATGAAAGCCAAAGACAATGACTGGGAAAGGAGGCCCTCCCAATCCCACTTGGTCCTGATGAAATCACTGCATGTCAGAACAGAACAGGAATCTTTCTACCTATTAGGTGTGGAATGGGATTCTCAGTGGACTCCTTCCCTGTAAACAACTTACTCCTTTGTCTCTCCAACTCAAACAAGAGATTTTATTTTAGAGTGTATAGGTCAGATTTCTAATCTTGGCCCAGCTACTTATGGGCCATAGTATCTCAGCAATAGCAATTTACCTCTTGGGGCCTTAGTTTTCTCATCTGCCCAATGACAACAATAATAGGGATGACAATACTGTGTCTATCTCATGGGGTGAACATAAAGAAGGCTTCCCATCTAAAGAAGTTTTGGGTCCCCCCATCATTCAGGCTGTATTTGCTAACACTACTCTCATAATTTGGAATAGGCTGTGGGTAGCTGTACCAGAGCAGAGCAACTCCTTGCCCCCAACTCCACCCTCTTCCTCAGCTGATGCTGCCAGCCACTCCAGGATGTGTTTGCTCTCACCAGAAAAGCACGATCCAGGAGATGTCCAGGAACGTCCCCTTGACTTTCCCGCTGAATCCTTTTCTTCCCCACACCATCAAAAGAAACCTTCTTTGAGCATTCCTGACCTTCAGTGGGTGCCTCAACCATTCCCTTGGGCTTCTTCTTGAGATTACCTTTCCGAGTCACTAACCAATGTCCTAGTCCTGTTGGGAAGATCAGTTCAGTGAGAAGGGGTACACTCCTCCAAAGCTGTGAGTGCAATTACAAGACAGTTATCTGTAACACTAAAATAAAAATTAGCTCTTGATTACATAATATACACCAGACTCTGCACCACTGCTGGGTAGGGGTGTTTACATATTTATCTCATTTAACTGGCACACAAGCCCAGTGAGGGACATATTACTGCCCTTATTTCAAAGATGAAAGGGCTTAGACTAAAAGAGGTAGAATAAACTGCCCAGCTCTTTACGTAATGTGTTTTATATCCAAACTCTACTGTTTCTTTGAGACCCAAGATCAAGTATTTCTTGTTCTGTAAAGTCTTCCCAATCCCCTCTTAGGAAAACAGGTCCCAGTTACTCCCTTATTGTCATCTCTTGGGTAAAACCAATGTGTGACCTTAATGGTGTCCATCTTCCCAGACCATCATGAAAGACTGTGTAAGGAACTCAAAATAGAAAAATGACAGGGCAGTTGGCATTTAAAACAAACAAGCAAATAAACAATAAATGTTCATTATCAAAAGAAGTGGGAAATTTATGTATGCAAAAAGAAGAGTATGAAGTTTACTGGTAAGTCCACCTACCAGAAACCTGCTTTCTCTTATATTAGCAGTTTATTTACTGACGGCCTTCATTGCAATTTGTGATTGTTTTATTTATTGCTTATTAGTATCCATCTCTCCTCCTAGAGTGGAAGCTCTGTAATAGCAGAGACTTAATCGGATTCCTTCATCTCAGTATTCCTGAGACCTGCATAGAGCTTATCATGTTGTGACTGTTGCTGAATGAGTGTCTTAATGAACTCTTGAGACATAGCAATACAATACAATAATCTATTTATACCTTTTATGGGCATCTACATTATTTTGGAAGCTAGGGTTATATGAATAAATAAAACAGAAGCCCTGACCCCCCAAAACTCAATAATATATTAAGTGCTCTGGAAGCCCAGAACATAAGCAGAATCTAGTAAATTGAAAGTAGTTCACTAATGGAGATTAAAAAAAAACAAAACAGGCGGTCTAGGCAGAGCGAAAAGAATAAGAAATAACTAGAGGTATGAAAGATCAGAACAGCATAGCTATGGAAAACAGTGTGGTGCCTCTAACACCAGCTCTTTTCTGAAGCAGCCCCTACCTTGCCTCAGGGGCTCCCTCCCCAATCTGATCACTGGTGCCAATCCTGCTTCTTTTGTGAGTCACTCTGGGCCTGGCAGTCCAAGTAACCAGTTTCACAAGCTGCCCCTAAAGTCCTGGGTATGGACTTTGATTCTCCCTTACCCTATCCTCATATCCTTGACTCCTGGAGACTTTTAAGTTGGTGCCAAAATTCTCAATGTGGCCAAAAGGTAAGGCCTGAAGTGTGTCAGGAGATCAACATGAGGAAAAAGAAATGAGGCTGGAGAGGTCAGCAGAGTCATGAAAAGTCCCCTAAGCCCGGTAAAGGGTTGGAATGGGGTAGCTTCTAGCAGAAAGGGGATCCAGAGAGAAGCTT